AGTTAAATGCAACTGTAAGGCTATTTTAATCGTCGTCAACATGAATATTAAAGTCACCTACGATAATTACTTTATCTGTTTTAAGTACCAAATTTGATAAAAACTAAGGACCTGGTGCACGGTACACAGTAACAAATAAGGTTGGCTGCAAAGTTTTCCAGGTCGGATGCGTAAGACTAAAAACAAGGCTTTCAAAGGAGGTATATTTAATTTTGGTTTAGTATTGATAAATAAACTTGAGTCAAAGATTGCTGCAACTCCACCTCCTCGGCCTGTGCCTCGAGGAATATGAATATTGATATGGCTGGGTGGAGTGGCCTCATTTATGCTGACATATTCTTCATGTCTCAACCAAGTTTCAGTGAGACAGCATATATCAATATTATAATCTGATATTAAATCATTTACCAATATTGCTTTAGATGCTAGAGATCTTATGTTTAAGAGTCCACATTTAATCTTCCTGTTTTGTTGCACTGTAGTAGTTGTTACATTTACTTTTATTAGGTTATTATGTATGACACCTATTAGGTTTTACTTTAAATTGTCCTTGGGCAGACACACACACCATTAATATTGGGTATTTTATTGGGTTCGGGATTCCTATGAATGACTGCCCAGGAGAGAGTGCAGAGAAGCGTGTAAGACTGTGACTCCGCCCCCTGGTCTCAACTCCAGTTTGTCATGGATTAAGTCCACAAAGCCCTGAAATGTATTCATAAGAACAATGCGCTGCTTTTACTTCTTTCAGATGGTCCAGAAAACGTGTCTTTGTCGATTGGTCCAGCCACCGCCCTGTCCAACGGGACCCTCATCGTCAATCGGGGTTCGACAGTCTCCTTTAACTGCTCCGGCTCCTCCTACCCCTCCCAGCAGCTGACCTGGGCCTTCAGAGGAGCGGGGTCCAGCAACCAGTCGCTGGCCTCCGCCCCCGGACCCTGGCTAGACTTCAGGATCCAAAACGTCCAGCCCAGCGCTCAGGGAGTCTACAGCTGCAAGGCCAACAACACTGTATCTCTTCAGGCAGCCAATAAGAGCACAGAGCTGCTGGTATACTGTAAGTACCTCGAGCAGAATACCCAGAATACTCTTCTCTGACTACAGCTCTCGTGTTTACTGGGATGCTTTTAAGGGGAACTTCAAAATAGAAAGAATAAGCCTTAATTTGATTATGCCATTAATATATAGTAATAACTATTGTTATACATATTCTATATCATATAGCATTGTATTTCAAATGTTTTAGTACTGGCGCCCATATGAGACTTTAGCCTGGTTTACTGTACTTCTTCTGGAGAGATTAAAAGAGGTTAAATAAGGTGAGGAAAAAAACATCCGATATGGACTGCGATCATGTGAAAGTCAAGAAAAAGTCTAGGCACTTTCAAATGTTGCCAGACTGACAGCATGATGGTTCGAGTTACCTGTTGTTATATGCAGAGCTAGAAGCTAAGACAATGAAACATTGAATTCACTTCCTGAACTCTCACACAGCAAACACAGCAAACACAGCATTTTCCTGTGATTTTTCTGACTTCCTAGAATTACTCACCGATGCTTGACTTTTCTACAGGAGGGCAAGCTGCGTTTTTCACTTTGATGTATCAACCTGTCTGTAGAAGAATAACAACGACAACACATTTATGATTTGCTTGTAGCCGAGGCACATCCTTATGGTTACACATTAGATAGATTGGGTAATACTTTATTTTGAAGGTACAATAGGTTCTTCTAATTTTCTAGAAAATGACTGATATACACATTTATAATAAACATTTCAGTCAGTGCTTAGCAATTCAGTGAAACATGCAAAAGTCTCTTTACAAATAACAAATTAGTACAACATCCTGCAAATGGAGACTATAGTTTCAATATTATAAATGCTTAATAAATCAATATTTACTTAAAATTATTATTGAACTCGGATTTAACTCACAATTGTCTCAGCATTATTACCAAATGACATAGTTATTTCCAGGGAAAGTATAGAAAAAAGGAAGAAATGTCAAAAATAAAATAGAATTTATTTTGAAAAATAAATGGTCTACCTCTACTATGAAATATTCTTATTAATGAAATAGAAACAGGTGGAAATCACAGTAATAAACCACATATTAACTAAATATAAGTATATACGTTTTTCCCTTTTCCTCCCCCTATGAAAAAAACACAACAAATGACATGATAAACATGGGAAAAATAAATGAAAATACCTGAGTGGGTTTTGCTACAAGTTTTTGAAACCCCATCTATATAAAAATTGTAATATTGTGTAAAATATGTAAAGTGTAATGGATGCACATACTGTATAGAAAAAGCAGCCCTGATGTTGATCATTACATTATCAAGCATCCTTAGTATAAACCATTCTGTAGCTTTTGTCCATTTCCTGACTGATATGTTTGCCCTGCCCAGATGTCCCGGACCGACACCCTGAGTGTGTGTGGGTGCTGGCACAGGACCCCTCCCACGTCCTCTTCAACTGCACCTGGTTCGGAGCGTACCCCGCCCCGAAGCTGCTCTGGGGGGAGGACCAGGGGGACCAGGCGGCCGGCTGGAAAGGACACGTTTATAAATCGGAAGTGACGGAGAGCCTGTCTGTGGTGCTGAACCGCTCCATGCTGGAGGACGGGCAGACGCTGCGGTGCGCGGCCCACCACCCGGCGATCGCTGCGGGGAAACAGAAGTCGTGCTCCTTCAACCTCAGTAAGCATGTGCTGGTGAAATGAGCCTCTTTACAACCCTGCTATATCTTTCATGTGCTTTCCACTTTAGAGCCACACTGACACTGTTCAGTGGGATTGTAGACAGTGTATTCTTAGCATTGACCTTAATTTACTTTAAAGGGCCAGTTCTTCATCCACATTCCAGAAAAAAGGTAATTAGCAAAAATAGCCATGCAGGTAGTTAGGGTTTTAGTTCTTCAGGTTTATTGGGAGACATGTTTTTGCTTCCACACCAGCAACACTAAGGAGAACATCATTTCAAACATGTTAGCAGCTTTAAATAAAGAGTTTACTGCATAATAACTATATGGAGAGATGTTTATAGACTACTCACAGTAACAAGGCCACTTTCTACGGTATTTACCCAGAGTTTATAACATTGTTGTTTATAGATACATACTTAGGTTCATCTGCTAAAGCTTTGAAATACACCTCCACCCCAGTGCAATTGAGGTCAATAGATTTCAGCATTCATAGATTTTAAAAGGCCTGACCCCTGTAGATAATCTACAAAAATGTATGGAGGCAGAAAATCAGTTACACAATCATTTCAAAGCTGATAATTTAATACAAATCCTAATGTTGTAAACTACTGATATCATGCATGATTTCTAACAAAGCAAAAGCACCTGTAAAATTGTGTGGTGTGTAGGCAAATTAAAACAAAATGATCTGCACGGCTAGACATTACCACAAGAGGCAATTGGGAGAATATATTTTGTTAAAGTAAGAGGAAATGTACTCTAGTTACTGATCAAATGTGCTTCCTCCCAGCTCTTTCTTTAACAGAGTACACAGGCTCTTCAACTCTTTAGCCCTGTGCACTGCTCGCTGGGTAAACTTTATTGTAACATCAAGATATAGGTTTTAGAAAAACCTTCTCATAATTAGTTTATTTAGATTTTAAGCCCTGCTGCGGTTACAACCACACCTCGATGGACACAGCCCTGCATCCAGGATATAGACAGTTAGTTCAGGGTTGCCAACTTTGGGTACCTGGCTGGAGTGAGATTTTGATATCATGGGTTTAATTACACATATGCGCACTAAATGACTGCTATCATGTCAGCAGCGGGACCTTAGCGTATATATAGGATATATATATATACAATATATACAAATACAGAATATTGGACACAGACTATAAAGGGCACAAAGTTTCATTCTATAATGAAAGTCAAACACATGTTTGTTTCCACTGTTTTATTGTGTGCCTGTCGCGATAAGCAATTAATTGACTTATCGTACGATAAATAAAAATGAACTCGATAAATGTCCATTTACATGAGGATGTGACTAGCAGTTTGAAAGGATGTACTTGAATTATTATTATATATTATCATTATGTCAGTAGTCTAAAATGGTCATACAACGGTGCCGACAATATTATCGTCTATCGCAATAATTTCCGGGAAAATGTATCCAACAAAATTAATTATTGTGAGAGGCCTATACATGAAACACACACACACAAACAAATCTACTCCAAACTGCCAAATATATTAATTAAGACACTCTCACTCTCATTATACTCTTTGACTCTATTTTGGCCTAGTAGAAAAATAAGCAGCAGACTTTTACTTTTTTATCATTTCTACTGGATCTTAGATCAGCGCATGCGCAATACGGGTCGGGGATTGACCAACCGGCTCCCACTGCTCTGCTGTCTGTTAACGATGTTAAGAGTGGTGGGGGCGGGGAAGGAGCGGATCGACAGCTTGAGCAGCTGTCAACTCAACATTGTAAATAACCAACCAAAAACGATCGCCGGTTCATCTTGTTTTTGGCGTGAGAATAGTTTGGGGAGCGTGAGATTGAGATTGAGAGTGAAAGCGTGTGTCACACGCCAGATGCGTGAGAGTTGGCAACCCTGAGTTAGTTAGTCACTGCAGTGTAAGGGTTATCATCACAGGACAGGATTGCGCAAACAATGATATGACGCAAAAGCATGTGACAGTTTATTAGTTTGCATCAGCTTGTCTGCATTCTTTTATGTTTATAAAAGCTTTGAAGATGAGTGGTTTACTTGTCGATTAAGATTAAGGGTTCGATTCCCACATGGGTCAACTAGAAAACAAATTGAACTTATCGTACTAAGTTCTACTATCATAAAAAATGCACTTTTGTATGTCTTTTATACATAAATATGTGTCCTTGGTGTGTAAGTGAACTCACAAAGTGTCAGAAAACAAAGCCCTCTCTCTTTTCCTGCATACCCAAATCTCTAAAAACGGGGGTACAACGGAGCTGATCCAGAAACACTGTCGGCCCTATCAGAAACGTCGCTATCAGAAACAATGTGCAACGTGTTTTGGAAGTAATATGGTCTTTGTTTACATTAGCAAGCATCGCTAACACTCAGAGCTAACCTATACTGGAGAGAGTATGTGTAAAAAAATCAGGCAATAAAAAAGGTACTCACCTTGTGGTAAACCCGCAAGAGAAAAAGCATTTGAGCTCCATTCTGTTTCAGAAATAATCCTTGACATGTTTTTGAACATGATATGGCGTTTCATCACGGCAGCATTTAGCTGAGTATCTGGCGGTAGAATTATCCTGCAGAAGTTCCACCCCCCTCTTTTTTTTTCTTTTTTCAATTCTTTTTTTTTTTTTTTAAACCTATGGACCCACAATCAGTAGGCCTACTTCTCTAACAGGGCTGAAATAGAGGCATATGAGGCATGGCTAGAATGGGTGATCTGTTTTGCAAAACACTTCATAGACATGTTTCTTTATATATTTGTATATATCTGAGACCTATAATATATGCCTAAACATGTATAATAGGAGACCTTTAATGTTTGACCTTCTCTCTCAGAATATCCGTACCCCAAAGGCGAGCCGATGGCCACGGCTCTCGAGGGGTCCAGCATTACTCTAACCTGCACTGAGGACGTCTCCATCCCCCCTGCAAACACCACCTGGAGGAAGGGGCTCCAGCAGGAGGACATCGTCCCCGGATCCAAGTATGTCCTGACGGAGGAAGGCGCCGTCCTGAAGCTGACCATACACAACATCAGCAAGGACGACGAAGGCGTGTACTTCTGCCGCAGCGAGAACCCCCTCGCCGTGCGCGAGCTGGAGGTCTACCTCACTGTGAAGAGTGAGTTTGGAGACAACAGTTTGCTTTCCTTTGTAAATGGATTTAGAATATGTAAACATATCAAAGCTGTAGCGGCAGAGGGTATGACAAGTTACACATGATACATACAGTTTTTACTACAACACAGTCTCTGCAGGTGTCGACTCCACCTCTGGAATGCTGATCGAACTGCTGCTCCTCCCTCTTTCTGCTCCATAACCCTCACCTTTTACCTTGTGTTTTCCTCCACAGACTCCTCTGCATACACAGGAGGTGTCATCGGCTTCTTCATCGCTGCGCTGATCGTGGGAATAGCCGCCATCGTGGCTAAAACAATTTACTCCAGCCGACACCGCATTTGCCTTGGTAACTTTTGCTTATATTTGCGACATAAGAAGTTACAAATGCATGTAACAAATACCCGACTTAACCCATGGCATAATTAGTCTTTGCACCCGTGTTAAAAAAATCTTACATACTGCATCTCGTATGTTTTGAATGAGAGCACACATAACAATCTGCTTGTACTAATTTCACAATTTCTCTTCATGTTTTTGTTTCAGGAGATGGCTTTGGGTGAGTATATCACCTATCTAATACGCATGCTTATTTAAGTCAATTCATTAAATGAAAGGGATTAAAAACAGCAATTACATAATGGATTATGCACTGCAATTCAGTATTTGCCTTGTTAAGTAGTTTAGTAGGAGCTTATTTTTGTATTACTGTAAATAACTGCATAACCATACTGTAGAGGTCATGTCTTGTGAATATATATTAACACAAAAAATCACATTGAATACAACCATTGAAGCTAAAATGTATACATTCAGTTTGAGCAGTTAAAATGAAATCTCTGTATCAAATAGCCTGATCTCTTGTCTCACTATTTGGCACCCGTGTTATCCTACGGGTGTACATTCATCCAAAAAGTAAAGACACCAATTCCTGCACCTATCATGGCATCAATAGACCAGAATGCAATGCAGCTTCAAGGCATGGGGCCTTTCTCATTTCTCTAATTCCCCTCCTCGACTCGACTCCCCTCCTCGACTCCTATCCTCGTGACTTAGTCCCGCCCACAGGAGATGCGGGAGGAGGAATCGAGAAGGGGAACCGAGGAGAGAGGAGGGGAAGCAGCAGGCGGTTAGAGAAATGAGAACTCCTCTCCTCTGAGCGGTCATTTTAAAGAGACGTCCATTAATGATGACAGGAGGCACAGCAGCCCTCTGTCTGATGGACAGAACTGTGTTCATGATGACTTATATTTACTTTTAATTCATTCACAGTGCGGTATAATGAGACAAGAACAGGCTACAGATGTGGACACACACACATATATTATTTATATAAATATATACAATTTCAGAATCAAACAAGTATGAGAGCACTCTCATAATAGAATCGCTACAATGAGGAAATGAAATTACGGGCCAAAAGTTGTACAAGTATTAAAATTAGCATAGGACACCAAACCAACTGAGACCTGTCTGTCTGCCGCATCCACACACACACACACACACACACACGCACACGCACACGCACACGCACACACACGCGCACACACACAATACCCTACACACTGTACCACACCTACAGCTCCTAAAGCATATAATATATCAGGATACAGCCGTTGTGTATTTTATTATGTGAAGCACTAAATGGTTTTAGAAAAATATCAACTCTGTGTTTGTAGATATCTACTAAACTCCAGCATACAAATACAGAGTGTAATGTAGGCCTATTATACTGAGTGATATATATATTATACACACTGCTCTGCTTTCTGCATGGACCTCACAGCTGTTCTCTCTGTAAACATCACGTCACGATTCAAGCAGTTAATAGAATAATATCCAGGGGACGCATGCAGAGCTGTCATTGGCTGAGATAAGTCCGGCCGTGCGTCAAGAGTCTTTTAAACATCACTATTGCCGGAAATACATCCGCAGAGAATCCGTGGAGGACCCATCAGTGTATCCTCGATTATAGCTCCTCCAGAGAACCTCCTCGATGCTCGGTCCTCGAAGTGCATTTAGAGAAATGAGATGTCCTTCAACATGGCACACTGAAATCCATTTCCGGGTCACTACAGTAGGACCGAGGAGTCGATCAGGGAAATTAGAGAAAGGCCCATAGAGTATGAAGATGTATATGAACATTTTGCGGAATATGCTTGCAGTACTGTGCTTGGATTTTTTTGCACTAGTTGAAAAGATTGATTGCACTATTATAGTATCTGTGTGCTCAGCCCAGCAGGTACACTGTGAAGTTATTTTGGCAAACAAACAAACCTCATGTTGTTTACATTTAGTGTTCTCAATTTCCTTCATCATAAAACATTTGTACAGCAGATTTCTGGAATTTGAAACCGTATTTGTTTACAACCATGTTTTGCCAGCTAGCACTATTTGTCCTGGCGAATTTGCTGACTACTTTCAAACGGTGTTACTGTGCATCATGTGCATTGGTGTAAAGTGCACGTCGACTAAAGAAACAGGCTCCTACTTTCAAACTGTTGCTCCAGTGTTAATATATTTGCACAGTTGCAGATAAAGATTACACTAGTATAATTATACTATTTGTAGGATAATATTCCAATTGTAGCTGCTTCGGGTTGTTCAGTGTGATTCCAACAGATTTCCAATAACTTACAGCATTGCATGGTCCAAAACTCAAAATGTATTGAGAAAAAGATAGATTTCACGAATCAAAACATGTTTTCTTTCCAACGGAATATTCTGCTTTAATCCATATTTGGTAGGCGTTCAAATACAGTTTGCACTAGCTTTCGCACTCTAGCAGCAATTCTACAAAGCTAAAAGGCTCAATTAATGAAGATAGTTAATTTAATAACCAATGCTTATTAATTTCATCATAGGAATCACTTTGTTGTAATCAAGGAATTGGTTTTCATAGGGTGATGCCATAAAATATGAAGACAGACATTCAAAGCTCAAAAACCTCAATTAAAGCTTTGAATGCTAAAGAAAAATGACACTCTTAAAAGCTTTTAGTCAAATATAACGCTCTGCCAATCATAAAATCATAATATTCCCAATCTTTAGGCGCATTGAGGAGGACCAAGGAGACGTGCTGAGTCTGGTGGAGTCGGATGATGAGCAGATCTTTCAGGACGCTGTTCCCCGGCTGCCTCCGATAACCAACGGACTCAGAACAACGCTCGTCCAGATACATCGAATCCCATCCAGTATGACCTCATCATGGCTCCTAACATTGATTTGATGGTTTGTTAGTACATAGTACAAATCTTTAGTTAAGTACCAATGTCCCTTGTTTTGTTTTAGGTGATCATGAGGACACAGAAACTGCTGACCAGAGCCCGCAGGACGATACTGTACGGATAGAAACGTCAGCGGATCTTGTAACATTTTAGGTATCGGGTGTTTTTTAGATACGTGTTTTATTTGAGGTAAATACCTTTTTTCTCCCAAGGACAATGTGAACGGAATCGGTGGAAGATACATGTATAATAAAAGAATCATCTATTTGAATTTGTTATTATTTTTGGAAAAAAGGGTTTTGAATTTTTGTACGCTTATTTCTGATTGATTTGTTTGTAGGCTACAGCATTTTGAATGTTGCTCTGAGGTTTGTATGATGAGTTGAAACAACATGTGATGTGACAAAGCCTTTGCTCATTCATTACTCACTGCTTATACATTTCTGCGTTGTGCTGTGCGTAGCATTTACAGATTTACTGTGATGATACCAGTGTAGAATGCAACCCTAGACTGAATGTTTAAAAATGTAGTGGGGTCTTATGTTTGAAAGGATGCAGTGAAGGGAGGGTAAAAACTACGACAGGTCGGATGTCCCACCTTTAGAAATAACTTAAATTCAGCTGACATGAGATCTTGTGCGATAGCGAGAGTGAAAAATCTCTTTATTGTTTGTGGTAGATTGTCATTATTGGTGTTTTAATCCAATATTAATCTTACTTTGTAAATCATCCTTTAAATACCCACTTGAGCATTTCTTTAAGTAGAGGACAATGTCCTTTCATATCAAATGGAAATATCTTATACATAGATATATAGACATGTGCCTTATTAATACCTTAAGTCTTAAGATATTGCACAACCATGACAAATTGAAATACTAATTAAAAGGATAAAAAGCATTTTACAATAAATACAAAACATAAATACAAGATAGGCTTAAGGGTTCAGTCAAGGGCAGAGCGGATCATTCTCTTTTTAATCTGGATAGGGGCCTGAGAAGAGAGCATTGCAGTGATCTAACCTGCCGGAAATGAATGGACATACAAGGGATATGTTTTAAAAAATGTAGAATGTTGAAAGCTTTAACATGGCTTGGTCAATGATTTTTTTGTAGTGACTTGATATATAATATTTAGTTTGCTCTGGGAATTATATAACACATATTTCTCTGTAGTTCCTTGTAGGATCTTGACAAGAACGGACTATTATATTTTAATAGCAGTAGTGTAGTAGTTCAAGTAACTAAGTGGAATTACTGCAAGAAGTACAGTTCTTAAGTGCAATTTTGAGATAATTGTACTTTACTTGAGTATTTCATTTCTTTGCTACTTTGTTCTTCTACAATCCAGAGGTAAATCGTGTACTTGTTTTACTCCACTACATGTATGTAATACCTTTAGTTATTGCAGATTTGGATTAAGGATGTGAGATGTAAAAAGGACTTTAGATCAACCTGGATTACATTCACAATCTACCCTACAAAGTAATTAAAACTAGCTGCACCTTTGTTTGCTTTGATAACACTGCAATGCATTAATAATTATAATCAAAACATTTTGATTGCAGGACTTTGACCTGTAACAGAGTATTCCTACACTCTGGTACTTCTACTTTTACTTAAGTACAAGATCTGAGTACTTCTCCCACTTCTGTTTCACAGTGGCATCGTGTTTATCCAGTGTGGAAACCAGAGGAGTTGTTGTTAGTTATCTTAGCCTGTATCTTACCATGCATTGCAATTTTATTAGGGGGCGTGCCATGGCTTTAAGGTTACGTAATAAAAGAAAAGCGTAACTGCTTTTGGCCAATAGCACAAAGTGACTCAGGCAACCGGAAATCAGCTGATCGTTTAGTTTCCCACTCGCACATTTTTCACATAACAAACAGTGTATCGCAGGAACAGACAAGTAGCAGCTCTGTCTCGGGACACAACACACTATCCTGCCCGCGTGAATGGACGACTGGAGACGAACACAGAGCAAGATTCCAGGAAGTTAAAAGCGAAGAATGTGATAAAGAAACGATGTGCTCCACGGGAACCAATGCGGAGCTACAACAGACATGTAAGTCGTCGCATAGTTATTAGGGATATTATTTGCGAGCTCCGTCATGTTGTCATCGCAACGCTCAGTTACCAGGCAGCGGTTAAACCTCCGGGGGAAAATGCAGCACCGAGCGGGGGTAGAGGGTTTGTTATTATGCGGGGGGAAGGCGCTGTCAGGGCCAGGGGCAGTGAAGGATGAATGTGTCAGCCCCTGAATTTATGTCGCCCTTCCGTTCTCTTCCAGCGTCCGACCCGGCTCTGGTGCTGGAGCTGAAGACCAGGCGTCCTCCGTCCCTGGAGGGCCGAGCGGGCTGTGAGACCTGGAGCGTGGACTTCTCCCCGGACGGAGCCTGGTTCGCCTGGTCGATGGGACACGGCATCGTATGGGTGGTCGCCTGGCCTCTCGACTCCGAGTAGGTTTACCTGCATTTAATCCACACGACGCGTTCAGGTGTCCCTCGTACAAACGGGCTTGTGCCACATACATTGGGATAGGGCATAAATACTGATGTCTGTTTGACTTGACAAACAAATTATAAACTAAAATAAATAGTACAAATATGACGTTACATTAACGCATATCTTTGGGGCTATATCTCTGTACATTGCATATTACTTAAACATTTACAAATAACAATTTAACAATTCAAATGTAGTTTAGGGCCTACATATAGCATCTAAAAAAAGGTCTTTCATTTTAATTAAGGTATAGTGTAAATATTTTTTAATTTTGATTATATAGATATTTTTTCGTTTATTATTATTATTATTATTATTATTATTATTATTGAACTTGCTCTTATTTATGTATCTCTTATTGTGTTTGTTTTCCAAGTCTTTGTGATGAACACTGGCATTAGGAAAGTTAAGGGTAGGGTAACATGTCATTATGCAATAGGAATAAAACATGATGAAACTGAATGAAGAAACTACCTGAATTAAATGTAAAAAGCACCTAACGAAACTTCAAAATCTAAAGTAGATGGACAGTTTAAATATGTATTGGATTATTTTACAAGTGAATGGATGTATGTACCCATTTAGTTTTATTTATTCATACATTTTCTTTTGAAGTGCCTTATTTATTTATGTATTTATTCATATTGAACATGTTGGGACTCCATATGCTCTGTGCTACCAATATGATACCTATATTAAGGTACCGATTACTTTTTTTCAAAACATACCAAATTCCTTCATGCATCAATGATAAAAAATGAAAGAATAGAAAATGGAAGATCATAACATATTCAATCAAAGAAAAACTGAACTGCTAATTCTTATTATGAGTTCTTATTTCCAACAAAACTTAAAGGCAGCATATCCAATCTCCAGCTCTAGCATCCAATTTGCCTTTTTTTTTATAGTATATCTGGATTCTTCTCACCCACAGAGACAGTCAGAATGCAGAGATCGATCGCGAAGACAAGAGCTTCAGTTGTGGCCATCCAGTGTGGGGCCTCGCCTTCGGACCCAGGCCTCCAAAATCATCAGCTGTGGCCCGCCAAGCTAAAACAGGGAAAACATCAAAAGGGAGCAAAAGCCTGCTTCTGGCCACGGGCTTAGAGAACGGGGTGATCAAAATCTGGAATGTGTTAACAGGTGAGATCTCTATTCCTGCTGGTGACACTCTCACCTGCACTCTTTTTTTTAATATTTTTCAAATCTGTTGTGGCTGATTTTGAATGTTTTTGTTTCAGGTGATGCTGTGTTTGATCTCCATGGCCACGAAGGTGTTGTGAGGGACCTGGTCTTCCCTCAGAATGGGACGCTCACACTCATATCGTCCTCTCGGGACAAGACTTTGAGGATTTGGGACCTGGCTCAGAAAGGTGCACTTTTAATGGCTTTAAGTTTAATAACTAATGTAAAGTCTAGAATGACAAACGCTCCAAAAACCAAATCCATGAGACAATCTGTCCTTTTTAGGCAGTAAGGCTAGAGAATCATCTTTTTATTTTAGCATTGTTTTCCAAGTTCCCTTATGATCAGGCTGTCTTAGAAATCGTTGTTTTTGGTACAAATACATGAAATGTGAAACTTGACATTTAGCATAAGCAAATCCATTTTATTATTTGACAAATTAAGACCTTGCCATTTGATTAAGTTGAAAACATGGCCATTTATTTGTTTGAAAACATCATACCTTTTAGGTTCAAGGCTTTCCTTCAGCTGTCTTTCTAATGTCGGAGCTTCCTTGAACGCAACTATATTAAACCGTCCCTGGTTAAACATTAAGACAATACATGATCTCTGGGAGGTGTTGCCAAACAGGTTTCAAAGTTGTGCAAATTGATTGGATATTGACTTAAACCAGTGGCTGCCTGGAAGTTTGAAAATAAGGCTATAAAGTTTCATGGTTTAAATGATAAATGATATATAAAAAGTGGTAGTAAGCATTCAATGTTATTGTTGTTGTTCTTTAAATCATTCCTTTTCTGCCTGTTTCTCTTCATGTATCACTTCCTGTTTTTTTACTGAACTGAACCTCCTGTTCAATTCCAGGAGGTTAAAGCAAACATATGTTCATTTCTACACATACGAGTCATGTTCTCCACAACTTCAGGAGCTGATAGTTTGAAAAGCTGTTTTTCCTTTTTCTTCATTTAATCCCATTGATGATTTTGTTGTAAGTCTGTCTGTATTGTGTCTGTAGGTAAAACGGTGCAGGTGCTTTCTGGCCATAAAGACTGGATCAGCAGCTGCTGCGTGTCCTCAGACTGCAGCATGATCGCGTCTGTCGGCAGATTTGACAGAGTGAGTTAATGATTGTAAATTGTGTTTTCATATTCTAGGCGAGGACAGACACAGCGACACAGAAACAAAAAACTGTGCATGTCATTAGGACTATTTTTGCTATACACTTTCATTTCAGATTCAGAAGTCTTTCTCATCCATCATTCATGTTACCATCATTACGCATGGGGGCAAACTGTCGTTGTCTCAGTACAGTAAAATGGGACACTTTTCCCTGTTGCACAACACTCATAGGAATTTAACTTTTTTTCTTGTTCGCATAAAGGTTTCTTTGTTGATCTTTGACATATTGGAATATACAGGAAGAATTTGAGGAATTTACAAGTTTTTGGTCACAAGTCTGTTTTTGTTATCATTATTGCAGCATTTCCTTTTGATGGATAATGGTTTAATTCACTGGTTTTTGACAGGCAAGGTTAAACTGAAGGTCAAGATAGGTGTAACTAAATTGCATATAGCTTTTAACATG